GGCATTCTTGTAAAACTGGATTTGGATCAAACTTAATCCAGATTTTCTCCTCAGATCTTCAAGCGACAGCGTAAAGAAAGATATCCGTGGTTTGCGTTCAATTTTTGAGCAGTGCACATGCATAGGCTTGATTTTTAAATAGCCATGAAGAATAAAGCTGTGTTAAACAGCCTAAATGACGTGGCCACCTTCGCTCAGTTTGAAATGAGGATTCTTTCAGAATTCGCTTCTAGTGTAAACCAATTTCTTCTTCGTTAAATATAATGCAACGATGTCTGGTAGCAGATCACCAGCTGTCATGAATGTTGGATATCGATCAAGCAGGTGCAATCTTGGATAAAAGCAGCGAATGCCATGTCTTCGGACATGTGTCGGATTAAGAAGGATCGACAAGATTTCCATTTCTGAAATTCGACATATTCTTGCTTGTAAGCCGCTCCTTTCCTGGATTTACGGATCATAATGATGATAGTTCTGATATGTGACGACGACGTCAGGAAAGAAATTCTAAAGATCGGTTGTACTCATGAAAATGCATGACAAGCAGTAGAGGAACGGAAACGGAACACTAGCGCCAGATGGATCTGCATAGTAGATTACATATTCGGTCCTGAAATTCTACCCATAACGCTTGTATGATTGACAGAAATTTGAGACCATAAAAAAGCTTCTTTGACCGGTTTCTTTGTAGTTCAAATGAATATAACAGGCCACGAAACTAAAAGTGTGAAAGACATCGCAGCAATCTTCCGTCCACTTTGCGTATATAATCGCTGTGGAAAGTTCGAGCAAGGATAGCAGTGGTCGATCAGACGGCAACATATATCTACGAAGTGTGTTCATGCCAAATATTTTGAATGACATGGTAAAAACTTTTGAGGCTAATAGTTTTGAGGCACGGATACCTCAAGCAATCGCTTACCAGGCGCTACCAGTAAAAACGACACGCCTAAGATTGTCTTTTTCATGAGTAAACCATCTCAAACTATCACGGTGGTCTGCGAGTCAGACCGACAGACAGTCGTTTCGACGTGCAGCATTTTTTGGCTGCAGATGCTGAGTGAACAGCTGCTTCGAAACACGTACCAGTCAGCTGCCGTGTTCACTCGAGGTGAGCACTAAGTTCAAGGAATGAGTTGTTGAGGGCGACGCGAAGGCAGCGGTTGACCAGCGTTGAATACCGTTAGGCATAAGCAGATTTACTGAAGGTTCGACTTCTTGTCACGCTCCAACTTCGACTCACTGACAACTCCTTTTAACTCGAGCCTCAAACCTCAAATTTCTTTGTCAAACATTTGCAGTTAAACAGGGAGAATCAATTTCCCCCTTTTTTTGACATTCATTCTTTGCGAAAGAAAGCAGCATGCAAACACCACACGCCATTATGTCACGGCTGGAGAGTGTGCCACAAAAGCAGTGGCATAAAGAAACCAGTCAGTCTAAATTTCTCGCTTCCCAATCTAGAATGGTCAGTGGGCCACTACTATGAGAATTTTTAAAAACCAGGACGATATTGGCCTTTCTTTCTTCACAACCCAAGAAACTGGGATCAGGAAAGGTGTGTCTGGTTGCCACAGACATCTCTCGCCGTCTCGCTGCTTTCAGACCAATTGAATGCCGCTGTATGGTTTAAAAGAGAATACATTCTCAAGAATCACTGCTGGAAAGGGAAAAGAAAATCTTCAGACCTTTGCGATGTCGGCCGCCTTTGCATTTCCGGGGTGATTTGTCTTTTCAGGAAGCGTGTGGCGCAGTGCTGACCTTCGTTTCCTCACCATAAGCTAGGAGAATCCATACATCAATGCTTTTTCCCAAGGATATGCCTATAACTTAGATATCACTGTGGAGCTTAGCTCCTCTGAGGTGGAGCCCATTGTTCTACGTCAGAAGGATGAAAGACGACTTAAATGACTGGGGCTAGAACCCTTGGTGTTTAAAAATTGAGGTGAGTCCAACTTTCTGTTGATTGAGCAGTGCTGAAGAGGCAAAAATGGCGAGTCCACTGATAGGGTTACATGACAAAGTTATTACCTACCAATCATAAAGAACAAAGGGAAACTGTAGCGTACTTTTCGAATGAATCGCCCAACCAAAAGTTCAAACCGTACTTTGCGTACCCGTGACCCGTGATGCAGCATAGCTTCTTCTTCTTGCATATGGCAGAAACGGTCATAAATAGAGATCACATTTGGACAGCCAAGCGAGCATGATCGCTACTGACGTTACTTCCTGTACAACATAGCTCAAAGCAGGATACGGTCGAAGGTATCTGTCATATGCGCGGTGCTGATTCTCTTAAACGGCATGTCATAAGGGAAATCTCATAAAGGGGACTCTTTCGCAGAAGGCACATGGCAGGCGGTCAAGGGGTAGGTGCAGCGACAAAAGAAAAAATGTTGTACACGTTGTTGTTGTGCCTTGGAATTTAGTCCATAGCCGATCTTTTCGAATTGACAGACAGGCATCATGAGAAGTAGCTCCTGAAGTTGCTGCTGCCCCCCCCCCACAAGAAAATTCCCTTAAGCCCTATGTCAATATCCTATTAATGGTGCAGGATTGAAACGGCGAATATGCTCATTG